ATCCTCCCCAGGAGCCAGACGAGCCATCAGCGCTGCCCCACCCCCACGGTTTGGAGATTGGCGGGACCCTTTCCTTCCCCCTCCAGTTTGCTGCTCCGCCCCTGGCCTATGAAACTCCACCCCTCCATCTTCTGCTGGGGAGGATTGGTGGACCTGCCGCGGCAGTGCCTAGTGATTGGTCCCAATGGATGATGGTAACCGGCGAGATCCCGCCCCCAGCCGGCGCTGGGGTCTGGGGGCACTGCTCAGCGGTGCTGGGGCTGGCGCGGCTTGAGCCGCCGCTGCACTGACAGCTCGGTCTGCGGACCATGGAGACTGGCGCTGGCCCGCATCCCCCGCGCCTGTTTGTCTGCCTGATGCCGCTCTGTCTCGCGTTGCTTTTGGGACCAGGGAGGCCCGGGACCGCCGAGGAAGGTGAGTAGACTGGTGGCTGTTCTTGAAGCCCGGGATGCCAACAGATAGGGGGGCTGGAGAACTGGGGTGCTGGGGGAAGGAGTCGTATGGAAAGGCTGGAGTCTGTATTGGGGTTTGAAGCAAGCGGGCAGAGGAAGCAAAGAACTGGACAGAGAAAAAGGTGGCTAAGCAGTGGAGAAGAGAGGGGCATTGAAGAGCTCGGGGCTGGAGACCTGGAAGGCTGGGGAAGAAAGAGACCAGAAACCGTGGGATCCAGAGGCGGCGGTTCAGGAGCCGGTGAGACGGACAAACTGAGCGATTGGAGGTGGCAGGTATGGGGGCGGGGAGATGAAAAGAGCGGAGGAGACAGATGCGGAGGTGAGCTCGGAGTATGGGGAGACGGGATGGAGCCCGAACAGCGGAGGCTAGAGGACCGCTGTGTGGCCAAGAGGAGGTGGAGCGCTGGTGGCGGGGGAGAGGAGGAGACCGGCTGGGAGCGGCCCGACGTGCCGATCAAGGAGCTGTCCGCAGTGCTGAATTTGGAGCGTAGACTACCCGGCGCGGTCCGCGTTGCCAGGTTTGAGGCTGCCCGCGGTACCAGAGCCTGCGTCTCGCCTTTAATTCTGGATTTGAGGGAGCTGTGAGCTCGGTTGAATCCAGAGGCATAATATCTATGTACAGAATCCTGAGGAGCTGGAATCTGAGGCGCGGACCGCGGGGTTGGTCGGGGCGCTGGATCTCTGACGCTTTCCAATATGCAATTCCGATGTGCTATTAGTTATACCGGCACGCTGTCGGTAGTCCTGCCCACTGCCGCTGACGCTGCTAGGACCAACCCTCTTAGAGGCCCTCACCTTGGATCCCCAGCCCCCCTGCTTAAGCTCCGGATGAGTAATCTTCCAAGATTTCGGGATGGCCTGGGCTCCTGTCTCTGAGCTGCTGCTGTGCTGTCCAAACCAGTCCTTCTCTGGGATGGATACTGAGCTCAGAATTCAGATCTCTGGTCCAACGCATCCTGGGGGAGGAAAGTGATTCCAAGCCTTTCTGATGTAGGAGGGGTCATGGGTTTATCTATAAAAGACCCCTGACATTCTTTCAAAGGCAGTGGAGGTGATAGCCCCTGGGAAAGGGGCTGGCTGAGGAGATGAGAGATCTTTATTTCTCCTGATGCTGGCAGGGTCTCTCCACTTCATTTTCCCCAGAAGCCCTGGGAGTCAAACCAAAAAGGTTCAAGTCTACTCCCTACCCGGTGACCCCACAACTCAGAAGAGCCCCTGAGTATCAGTGGATTCAGGTGTGTATAAAGGAATCCTCTGAAGTGCTCACTTTCTCCCTCTTCTTGACACTCAGTTATAATTTAGGGAACTTGGGAAGGGGGGGTTCACCAACCCCTCTCATTTTAGAGCCAGTCTTAGCGTACTTGCTATGGACTCTGTGGCGAGCTGAATAATGACTCCCCAAATAGGTCCACGTCCTAATCCCCAGATTCTGTGAATGTTATCCTAAAATGGCAAAAGACTTTGTAGATATGGTTAAGGATCTTGAGATGGAGAGATTATCCTGGATTATTTTGATGGGCCTGATGTAATCCCCATGGTCCTTATAAGAGGGATGCAGGAGGTGTCAGTCAGAGGAGAAGCCGATGATGTGATGAGAGAAGCAGAAATTGTAGTGGTGTGCTTTGAAGATGGAGGAGGGGGCCATAAACCAAGGAATCCAGGTGGCCACTAGAGGCTGAAGAAGGCAAGGAAATGGGCTCTCTTGGCTGAGCCTCCAGAAGCGCCCCCTCCCCACCAATACCCTTTAGATCAGTGAAACTGATTTCCAACTTCTGACCTCCAGAACTGTAAGAGAGTAAATTTCTGTTGTTTTAAGCCATTAAGTTTGTGATAATTTGTTACAGCAGCCACAGGAAACTGATACAGCCTTCCCTAATCATTGTGGCTACCTCTCTCTGGACTTGAGCTACTCACAGCCCCTCGTGGGGAGGTATGGAGTGGGAAAAACTTGTCTGTGTCCTTTGCCACATTCTCTATGTCCTCAGTTAGCAAATTTACAGCGAATTCACCAAATCGTCCCATCCTCCTGAGTTTCTGGCTTTCTGATGTCTCTGTTCTCCCCTCTCCCTAGTCATCCTCCTGGATTCCAAAGCCTCCCAGGCTGAGCTGGGCTGGACTGCACTGCCAAGTAATGGGGTAAGTGCAACCTTTCCCTTCCTGTCCCAGGGATCCTCTGGCGGTCCAGGTCTCAGTCCTTTTAGCTCCTCATGGTTACAGCAGATCAAAATGCTGCCCAGAGCATGTGGCCTCCAGCAGCCCTGGCTTCAAACCAGAGCGGCCTACTAGAAAATGTTGAGTCTTCAGTCAGACAGTCAAAAAAAAAAAAAAAAAGATAAGTGAGGAGAGAACTGGCCGTGTCTAGGAACAGAAATGTGGAAGCTGGATGGAGCCAATGCTAAACAGTGCCTTGCACACAGTAGGTCCTACAATCAGTGCTGTTGATCGATGGATTGACAGAACAAACAAGACTTGGAATCCTAAAAGAGGCTTGGAAACTTAGGGCTGGGGGTGGGGTGATGTGGCAGTGTGACAGCAGCTTGGTGTCGTGGAAAGGCACTGGGTGGAGAGCCAGGACACTTCAGGCACCATTCCTACCTCTGCTACTAACTCGATGTGCATATCCAGTCAAGCCACTCCCTCTGGAGCTTCAGTTTCCCCATCTATAAAATTAAGGATTAGACTCAGTTGTCTCCAACGTTTCTCCCAGCTCCTCATCTTATAATTTCAGGGGTTGTATGAGGAGCGTGTGTGGGGCGGGAGGAGGAGGGTGCCAAATCGTGCGGAAGGGGGTTTTCAGCCCCGCCAGGGCTTGACCTCCTGGGGGTGCCTTGGCTCTGAGCTTCCCACATCTTTGTTCCCCTCCCCAGTGGGAGGAGATCAGCGGCGTGGATGAACATGACCGTCCCATACGCACATACCAGGTGTGCAACGTGCTGGAGCCCAACCAGGATAACTGGTTGCAGACTGGCTGGATCAGCCGCGGCCGCGGGCAGCGCATCTTCGTGGAGCTGCAGTTCACGCTGCGCGACTGCAGCAGCATCCCCGGCGCCGCGGGCACCTGCAAGGAGACTTTCAACGTCTACTACCTGGAAACCGAGGCCGACCTGGGCCTCGGGCGTCTTCGCCTAGGCGGCAGCCGACGCCGCAAGATTGACACGATCGCGGCGGATGAGAGCTTCACGCAGGGCGACCTGGGCGAGCGCAAGATGAAGCTGAACACAGAGGTGCGCGAGATCGGTCCGCTCAGCCGGCGCGGTTTCCACCTGGCCTTCCAGGACGTGGGCGCATGCGTGGCGCTGGTCTCAGTACGCGTTTACTACAAGCAGTGCCGCGCCACGGTGCGGGGCCTGGCGGTGTTCCCGGCCACCGCGGCCGAGAGCGCCTTCTCCACGCTGGTGGAGGTGACGGGAACGTGCGTGGCGCACTCAGAAGGGGAGCCCGGCAGCCCCCCGCGCATGCATTGCGGCGCTGATGGCGAGTGGCTGGTGCCCGTGGGCCGCTGCAGCTGCAGTGCGGGATTCCAGGAACGTGGCGACATCTGTGAAGGTATGCAGCGGACTGGGGGGTGTGGTGTGGGAGTGTAGCGTGCAGGTGGCAATTGGGAGAGAGTGCGCCCTAGATGAAAGAGGCAGGACGGGGAGTGGGGAAGCCGTGGGCTGGGGAGCCCCGAGTCCTGACCTTTTGTGGAGCTTCCGGTGGGTCCAAACAGGACCAACGAGTGAAGTTACTAGGAGGTGAATTTGAGTCCATTAAGGGGGCATTAGGAGCCCATATGTCAGGTACTATGATAAGCCCCTCACACAGGCCTTCTCATTTATTCACGGCAATAAGGTCACCATTACCCCCATTTCGCAGACGAGGAAACAGACTCGGAGAGATTAACACCTCACTTGCAAAGTTAGGAAAGGGGGAGCCAGGATTTGAATCTAGATTTGACCAACTCTCAAGTTCTGCTACACCTTGCTGCCTCCCTTACGCATAAGGAAGAACTCCACAGCAGCTCAACTCTACTAGCTAAGGGCTGGTGGGATCGGTTCCATTATAAGGAGTGAGCTCCCTGTCACTGACAATATGCAAGTCAGAAGCTGGCAGGGGGAATTCTTGAGAGAGAGAGTGATTAGGAGGTTGCACTAGATGACCACTGAGATCCCACCCAACTCCCTGAACTAGAGGCACTGTGCCCCCTGGAGGAGACCCTCCATGTTGGGGATTCTGTTGGGTTCTGAGATCTGTGGGGGCTCCAGGAACAGACCTCTCCTCTCTCCTATCTGTGGCTCTGAAGACTGAGGGTCAGGCTCGGGTGTGGATATGTGCACTTAACGGAGAAAGAGCAAGTGATGCTTTTTCTAAGGCGGGTCCTTTTCTGGGTGCCAGGGCCACAGAAATGAATCAGGCATAGTCTCAGCTCTTAAGAAGCTCATGGTCTAGATGGAGAGATGTAAAATTTTAAAAACCACAACGGGGTGATATATGCTCTAATAGAGGGATTAATACGGTGGTGGGAAGACTGAGGAAGAAGTGACTAATGTCACCATCTCTTTTCTGGGGGAAATTGTGATTTGCTAAGGGACTTGGAGGCATCAACCTTCCTGAGCTCTCCAGGTAGGGTTGGGATCCAACTCTGTGCTCTTCAGCACCTGTTACAACCCCTATTTCTGCAGTTATCCCATGGTATGCAGTGGTCTACTTATGTGTGTTTCCACCACCGGACTAGCAACTTCTTGAGCTCAGCCTCAGCAGCCCCAGTGTCCATAACAGGATATGGTATATGGTAGGTGCCCAATGAAAATGTATCAGGTGAATGGGTGGTTACCATAGGGTGTGATACATATCAACAGAGAGCTGAGGAAGCCTGGAGAAGGGAGAACTCAATTCCAAGGGTGGAGAGAGATGGTGAGAAGGCCCGTCTTCCAGGTAGCCGGGAGCAGTCTGAGTTAAGAGAGTGTGTGCAGAAGCATGGAGGCAGGAGAGAATGGAGCATGGTTGGAGCTAGGCAAGCCAGTGTGGCTGGAGCAGAGGGTATTTTGGGGCATTAGGGGCAATGGGGCTGGAGAGGGACGGGGCAAATCATAAAAGGCCTTGAACGTTGGGATAAAGAGCTCAGACTTTATGCTTTAGACCAATGGGGAGGATTTGAAACAGGGATCTGACATGTCCAGATTTGTGTTTTCAAAACATCACTTGAGCTGCAAGTACAAAGATAGAACTGGGGAAGGATTAGAGGCCAGAAGATAAGGCAGGAAGATGGTACAAGAGTCCAGGAGAAAGAGCACAAGGTCTGAACTAAGGCAGTAGCAGAGATCACTGAGAGATGAGGATGGATGTGATCATCCTCATCCACAGCCCTTGGTGACCATGTGAGGAGAAAGGAGTCCTTTTTGACTCGTATGCTTCTGGAGGAGTGAATGGACAGAGGGTCATTCTCTGGGTCAGAGAACACAGCACACGGATGGACATATCGAATGTATGGTGTCCACGGCGCATTTAAGTGGAGGCAGCTAGAAAGTGGGTCTGGAGCTCAGCAATGGAGAGGAAGATACTATTTGAAGCTGTAGGTGTGGTTGGGATGCACCAAGGAGACTGTGTGAGATAAGAAGCGAGAGGGCCAGTGATGAAGTCTCATAGAACAGCAATCTTTAATGGGAACTAGAGGAATCGTAGCTCATAAAAAAGACAGCGAGGGAGTGGCCAGGGGTTGGAGGAGAACAAGGACAGTGTGACTTCCTGGCAGCCAAGGGAGATGGAGATGCCCAGGAGGGATGGCTGCAGTGCCGGTGAGCAGCCAGGTAAGGTGAGGATTGGACAATGTCTGCTTGGTGGCTCTGGTGGGAGCAGTTTCAGCTGAGTGACGGAGATGGAGCTGCCGTGGGCTGAAGGATGGAGGAAGCTGAGGAGCTGGAGTCGGGGAATGTAAACCACCCTCTGGAAGGCTGGATTTGAAAAGGGAGGAGCAGGCATGGTACCTTGTGGAGGACATTGGGTTGAGAGAGGATTTTTACTGTAGAGGGGAGCCCTGTTTCTGGGACGAGGGAAGGAGCCAGGGGAGTATGAAGTCAGAGGTGGTGGGAATGGTCTGCCTCAGGGAGAAGAAATATTTTCTTACTGATGTGGGTTAGAATGGCGGGTGCACGCTGCTAGTAAAAAGCAGACCATGTTTTGTCAGTTTCGTTGTTTTTCAATACTCTGTAGACAGTGTCCTTACTGCCTGCACCCTGGATGGACTGCTTTTACTGCTCTACTCCCTTGCTCTGTCACTCGGAAGAGCAGGGGAGAAGGAACAGTGTAAGAATTAGGAGGCGAGATGCCTGACGGAATGTAGTCGGGAAGGAGGTGAAGAGGCAGGATGCAGAGGGAAAGAGGAGGACTGGCCTCAACGGGGGGCCCTCATCCCTTCTTCTAGGCCTGAAGAGAAGGAGGAGAGGGCAGGTGGGTGTGGACAGAGGTGTTTGTGGGTTTGACGGCCAGACGTGGAGGGAATTGCCAGCTGATGGCCTCTGTTCTCCCTGTGAGGTAGGAGGGAGGGCATCTGTACCAGCCGACAGTGGGATCCTGGTCTTTTTTAGTCACTGCTGTATCTCCAGAGCCTAGAACAGCACCTGGCTCAATAGATGCTAAAAAAAAATGTTGAATGAATGGATCAGGGCTGGAGGAGGAGGTTTGGATCCATACTCTGAGTAATGAGAGAGAGGGAGACACACACACACAGCCACACACACACACACTTAGAAACCCACTCCCACTCTGGAACTGTGCTGAGCTCGCTCCCTTAGGCTGAGACCAGACAAAGGCCACTTGTAATGGCATCAGCTCTGCCTTGGGCAGTAGGGAGCTGGGGAGGATGTCAGGGCAAGCTTCGCAAGGCAGGTATTATTTTGAACTGGGGCCTGGAGAAGCATAGGAATTTGCCAGGAGAGAAGACACATAAGACATTATGTGACAAGACCCAGAGGCGTGAAAGGAAGAGTTCAGTGTGGCATGGGTGGGGCGGTTGGCCATGGGGAGCTCTCGGAGGGCTTTAAGAAGGGTTGTGAAAGGGTCAGATTTGTGTTTAGGAAGGGAAGGCCTCCAGGCGCCTTCTGCAGCTGCGGACAGAGCCGTCTCTGAAGGCAGACGCGTGTGGAGGGCATACAGCGAAGATGTTTTCTCCCCTTCTTGCTTCTCTCTTCAGCGACTCGAACTCTGTTCCCCTTCTCCCAGCCACTAGAGGAGTTATTGAAAGAGTTGGAAAGGGTTGGGGTTTCCCTTGCAGGGAAAAATCAGGGCATTTGACCCCTGTCTTCACATCTGTGTAGGACTGCCTGAGAGAGGAGAGGACTCCAGCAGATAGGCTCTGTAAGGCTCCACAGGGCACACTGAGACCCCGTGATGGGGTGACATGAGGGGGCTACAGGCAGGGAAGCTGATCTGGGCTCAACACAAGGAAGCACTTTCTAAAGCCAGCGTCACTCAGCAGAGGCAGCCCCCGAAGAAGGCGGGCTCCCCATCACCAAGTACCTGAGCAGTGACCGTGGCTACTGCTGGGAAAGCTGCTGAGGACTGGGCCAGCGGGAGCTGAACGAGATGACCTCTGGAATTCTGCCTCTGACCTTGAGGAAGAGAGGGAGGGGTCTGCAGTCAGGGGTCCCTTCCTGAGTCTGCCCCTCAACATGAACCTCTTCTAAACAGAGCCTTTCAGAGTAGAAATCAGCAAGGCTGTCTCTGAGGGGACCACCCATCTCTGGGACAGCAGACGCCCACCTACCCACAGAGACAAGGAGCCTCCAGCATTCTTTCCGGACTGCTGTGAGACCCTGCAGACAGAGCGACGCGTTTCACAACAGAGTGGGCAGGCGACGGCTATTATTTCCATTTGAAAGCCAGAGAGGCAGAGGAAGTGACAGAGCTGACACTGGCCTTCTGAGTCCCAGCTGACGTCCTGCAATGTTACAGGTCCCATGCTTGGAGGCAGAGACTGCAAACGGCCCCCACACTGCTCTGGCCCTGCTCAAACCGGGTTACCCCGGACTCTAGGCAGGATGGACCCTCCCACGTCTGTGCCTTCCAGAGGATGGAAACCCACAGCCCCTCCCCTCTCCTCCCAGACATGCTGAAATTTCTTCCTGAGTGCGCATCCCTTCTGTTGTCCTCTGTCCTCTTGGGGCTTGAGAGCAGCCAGCCTTCCATAACTAGCTAAACCAGGGGGGAGGGACAGAGAAGGCCTGGCCTGGGCGAGGAACAAGGTGAGAACCACCCAAGCTCTGAGATGAAGGTCCAGGAGCCGCCTCCTCCCTCCCTGGCCCAGCTGGTGAGAAATTCTTTAAGTGGGTGTTTAGCAGTTTCCACTTCAGGCCTGTGATAGAGGAACAGTAATTACTACCATTATTGTGTAAATGTTGTCTGTACTTGGCTAAGTGGTTTACACGTTTTTATCTCAGTTAATCCTCCGACAACCTTTTGGAGATAGGTATTTTATGAACGGCTCAGAGAGGTCAACCAACTTGTCCAAGGCCACACAGCAAATAAGGGGTGCAACTCAGCTGCAAACCCAGGTTCAGATATAAAAAGCCTGTGCTCTTGACAACCAGTGTTCTGGGTCAGGTGAGGGAAATGAGAAGCAGAGTAACTGAGGCTGTGTCAAGACTAGAAGCAGAGAACTTGCACTGTCCGTCTTCGCTCTGTGCTCCCCTCCACCTGGCTGGCTCCCCTTTCACGCTGGAACTGAGTGTGTGAGTTGAGGATTGATGACGCATTAACCCCAAATGGTGGTGGTGGGAGGACGAGCTTTGACAATAACGTGTGTGTGTCAGTGTCTGTGTAACTGGGAGCGTGTGGGTGTCCGTCCCTGGGTAACTGCGGAACACCCCCTTGGAGGCACAGTTCTCTTCCGTCTTCACATCAAGACTAGAAGGTTGTGCTCATTTTCTTCCGATGGGCATGAGGGCAGTATGCTGTGGGCTCTGAAACCAGTCTGCTTGGGTTGGAATCCCACCGCTTACTAGCTGTGGGACACGGGGCAAGTGACTTAACCTCTCTGAGCCTTAGCTTCCTCATTTTAAAAACGAGGATAGAGTACATACCTCACAGGCAGCGCACATTAAGGGCTTACTAAGGGTCAGGTAGCATCGGGTTGTTCAGCCAGGAACTGCCCCCGGCCATGGGGCAGAGCTGGAGCAGCCGAGACTCGCCCCCGTCCCTTCCCCAACACAGTTCGAGAGAAACCCCAGCGTAACGGGAGCAGGCGGGCAGGACCGTGGGAGCGAGAAGCGGTGGACAGCCCCCTCGTTCTCACGCGGCGCCCCCCGCAGCCTGTCCCCCAGGGTTTTACAAGGTGTCCTCGCGGCGGCCGCTCTGCTCGCCGTGCCCCGAGCACAGCCGGGCCCTGGAGAACGCCTCCACGTTCTGCGTGTGCCAGGACAGCTACGCGCGCTCGCCCACCGACCCGCCCTCGGCTTCCTGCACCCGTGAGTCGCGCTCAGGACGGCATTGGGGCGGAGGGTGGGGGGGGGGCGGTCAATAAGGGCGTGATCGAGGTGTTGGTGACGGTAGGGGGATCCGCACCCAGGAGCCTGGGGGCCAGCGACCCTGACGGCGGGGTGGAGAGAGGGGACCCGGGCGTGGGGATGGGGTCCCGGGCCTTGGGGTGATTGGAAGAAGCAGGACAACGGAGAGTCCAGACCGAGGGATGCGGTTAGGTGGATCACCGAGTGGACCGCCCTGACCTCGCCCTAACCTCCAGCCAGGAGGGGGCTTCCGCCCCTCGCACTCGGTTCTCGGTCCCCATACCCCCATCTTCGTCCCCTCACTAACCTCCTCCCACGGCATCATTGGCCGCGCGCCCCTCCCTGACTCCACCCTCACCCCGCCCCTTCTCGGGACCCCGGCCCCGCCCCCTCCCCTGCCCCCTTCCCTGTCCCCATCCCCCACCTCGCCCTCTCCCCAGTCCTGCCCTCTCCCTGCCCCTCTCCCCTTCCTGCCCCCTCCCTGGCTCCACCCCTATCCAGCCCCCTCCCACATCCCGCCCCCTCCCTGCCCTGTCCCGGGACCCTCCTGGCCCCGCCCCGGCCCCCCCCCGGCCGCCCCGCGCCCCCGCCCCTCCGGCCCCCTGACGGCCGGCGCCCTGTGCCGCCAGGGCCGCCGTCGGCGCCGCGGGACCTGCAGTACAGCCTGAGCCGCTCCCCGCTGGCGCTGCGGCTGCGCTGGCTGCCCCCGGCCGACTCGGGCGGCCGCTCGGACGTCACGTACTCGCTGCTGTGCCTGCGCTGCGGCCGCGAGGGCCCGGCGGGCGCGTGCGAGCCGTGCGGGCCGCGCGTGGCCTTCGTGCCGCGCCAGGCCGGGCTCCGCGAGCGCACCGCCACCCTGCTGCACCTGCGGCCCGGCGCGCGCTACACCGTGCGGGTGGCCGCGCTCAACGGCGTCTCGGGCCCCGCGGCCGCCGCGGGAGCCACCTACGCGCAGGTCACCGTCTCCACCGGGCCCGGGGGTAAGGCCGCCCCGCGCGCCGGGGTCTCTCCGCGCCCTCCAGAGACGCCCGCCCCCTGCCACACCCCTCGCCCCCCGAGGCCGCCTCTGTGAGTCCCGCAGGGCGCACCCTACATCCCGCAGCCACCCCCGATCAACCACAGTCGGTGCAAACGCCACCGCAACACCAGCGCCCAGCGGCCCTCCAGGAGACGAAGTGACCCCCAAGTCCCCACCCCCGATGACCCGCACTGAGGGTCAGCCCCCCTCCCGAAGGCCACCAGAGAGAGAGCGAGGATGCAGGTGACTCCTTCCCCTGGGCCAGGGAGGATATGGGCATCACAGCGAGTCTGCGGGAGCCAGGGGGCGCTCCCCCTTCACCCGACCCCGCAGAAAGCCTTTGCCCCACGCCCAACTCTGCAGTTGCCTCGCGTCTAGTTTCCCAGGGAAGGAGAGCTGAAAAGTCCCTCGATATTTTGTCCTCTCTTTTCAAACATTCCAGTAGGCAGTGGAAACATCCTCCTTCCCCTCCGCCTCAGAAAGAGGGATCCTCCATCCCTTAGCCTCTGCGAGGGTTTTGCTGCCTCGGTCACCCTCTTTCCGGGTCCTGGAAAAGAGCAAGGAAGCGCGTGGGTTCAGACCGTAGGGGCAATGGAACCCACCGGTGGGCACGTAACAGTCACATTTCTGAGTCTGGAAGTGAGATGAATAGATGACGACCCACGAGCCTTTTATGCTACACCTTCCCCTTTCTTGAAGTTTACTTTTGATTTGTCTGTCGCTCAAAGATACACCTTCAAGTATCTTTCACAAGAAGGATGAGTGAGTGGTGTGGTTTCTGTCTTCTCATGTCTGGGAAGATATGATTGGTTATGACTACTTCCCTCTCTTCTGACGGCTGCAGTGCAGAGAAGTCTGAGGCCAGGGTAGTTTTTATTCTTTGATAAGTAACAGGGGTGTGTGTATGTGTGCATATATATATGCACACACATGGATGTCTATATAATTCTTTAACCTACGGATGAAAATGAAACTTAACCTATATCGATCTCTTTTCACTGAGTTTGGCTGAAACAGTAAAACTTTTGATCTCCACATCTTTCTTTATTCTTGGGCATTTTTTTCACTGCTGCTTTGACTAGAACTTCTGATAGCTCTAATATGGCTCTTAAGGCTCTCCCTAAGCCACAGGTTGTACATCCGTTTTCTGATTCTCAAATCTTGTCACTTCCTTTCTCATTTTTAGCTCTTAATCCATTTCCTCTGCCTTTTGGGAGAGATTTCCCAATTCGACTGCTTTCCTGGAACAACAGTTATGTTTTTTATTCTCTCTGTTGTGATTTAACATTTGCTGTTGCATTTACATTTTTAAAAATTCAGTATAGAAAAAGAAAAAGGCACCATAATTCTATTACCCAGAGATAAACAACTACTCCTATCTTGGAGTATATCCTTCCATATTTTTTTTCTATCTCTATCTATCTCCATATCTAGAACCAACTACTATACAAAAATCCCTTTTGTGTAACACATAATACAAATTTTCATGTGATATTTCATATTAATCCTGTTGTTTTGATATAGAGGGATTTAGAAATCACGTTAAGGAATTACTCATCTATTTCCATTTATTAATGAAAATACTAAGTTTCCACTGATTGAGTGCTGCTCTGTGTTGGGCACTGTGCAATATGATTTTCTACATTAATTCATTTAAATAGAATGCTAATCTTTTAAGTGATGAAACTGAGCTCTGAGAGGCCTGGTGAATTGTCTAAAGTCAGCCAGCTAGTAAGGGGAGGTCTGTCCTTGAACTCACGTCTGTCTGCCACCAAAGCCCCTTGGCCGCATAATGCTTCTACATTTTACTAAACTTTTTTTAAAAATCAGGAGTGGATGTTAATTTTATAAAATGCTTCTTAAACGTCTTTCAAAATGACCATGTGTCTTTTCTCCTTGGACCTATCAGTATGGCGAATTCTGTTAATGGGTTTTTCGATGTCAACTCTTTCTGCATTCTTAGATTACACCCTGCTGGATATGAGTGTATGCTGAATTAATTTACTTGCATTTTAATATTTTTTTCCATCTGCTTTTGTAAGAGAGATTAGTGTTTTTTTATTGTGTGTGTGTTTTTTTTTTTTTTTGGTCAAGTTTTGGCCATATGGTAATGCTGGATTTGGAAAAGACATCAGGAAAAATGTCTTCTTTTTCTCTGCTCTGGAACAGTTTAAATAACAGAATTACACATTCTTTGAAGGCATGCAAAACTGCCTGGGAAAATTTCTGGGCCCTGTACCTTTTTTAGGGGAAATTTGATTATATTATCAATCTTTCTCGTAACATCTTCTTGAATCAGTTTTGCTAATTTGTGCTTTCCTAGAAAATCTTTTGATGATCTTTTTCTAATTCATTAGCCCGGGAATGTATATTTTAAAACTTTCCTGATTGTCTGGAGTTAACTCTGTTTTCTCTTTGTTCATGTTATGTGCTTGCGATTTCTTTTTTCTTAATCATCCTTGCCAGCAGTATACTTCATTGGTTATGACAAAGCATCAGCTCTTGAGTTTATCAATTCCACTGCTCTTTGCTTCACTTATTTTATGATTTTATTAATACCATCCTCCTGTTTTCCTGAAGTCTTTTTCTAGGTGAGTTCAGTGTTTAGTTTTTGTTTTAATATTTTAAGCCTATGAATTTTCCTCTGAGTATAGCTTTGGTTGCATCCAGTTTGTTTTTATAAATAACGTATCACATTTTTAGTATTGTCAGGTTCTTTTGAGATATAATTCACATACCATAAAATTTCACATACCTTTTAAAGTGTAAATTCAGTGGTTTTTCGTATATTCCTTTTTATGGCCAACCAGTAGTCCATTGTATGGATATACCACAATTTTGTTTATCCATTCATCAGTTTATGGACTTTGGGCCGTTGCTACTTTTTAGCTATTAGGAATAATATTGCTATGAGCATTCGTGTACAAGTTTTTGTGTGAACATATGTTTTCAGTTCTCTTGGGTATATACCTAGGAGTGGAAGTGCCGTGTCATATAGTGTTATGGACTGAATTGTGTCCCCTCCAAACTCATATGTTGGAGCAGTAACTCCCAACATGACTGTATTTGGAGATGGGCCTTTAAGGAAGTTGTTAAGGTTAATGAGATCATAATAATGGGACCCTAATCTGTTAAGACCTTATAAGAGGAGGAAGGGACACCAGAGCTTGCTTGCTCTCTCTGCACATACACAGAAGAAAAGCCAGGTGAGGTCACAGCCAGAAGGCACACTGTCTGCAGGTCAGGAAGAGGGTCTTCACCAGAATATGAATACAAACCTGCAAGTATCTTGATCTAAGATGTCCAGCCTCTAAAACTGTGAGAAAATAAATTTTTGTTGTTTAAGCCACCCAGTCTGTAGTGTGCTGTTATGGCCGCCTGACCTGACTAATACACATGCTAACTTTTTATCTTTTTGAGAAACTGCTTAACTTTTTGAGGAATTGCCAAACTGTTTTGCAAAGCAGCTGTACCATTTTACATTCCCAGCCACAGCGTGCAAGCGTTCCACTTTCTCCTTGTCCTTGCCAGCAGTGGTTGCTTGTCTTCTTGCCCACAGCCATCCCAGTGTGCAACAAGAGGTATCTCACTGTGGTTTTGATCTGTGTTTCTCTAACGGCTGATGATGTTGAACGTCTTTTCTCATGCTGGTTTTCTTTTTGTCATTGAGTTATAATAATTCTTTTTAAAATATATATATTCTGGATACTAGACCCTTGTGTTAGTTTTCTAGGGCTGCTGTAACAACGTATCAAAATTGGTGACTCAAGACAACAGAAACTTACTGTCTCAA